ATGTTATACAATAGCTAAAATGGATTTCCCCCCCTACTAATAATTTTGATGAACTTTTTTTTTAACTTATACAACTTAATCAATCCCTTTATATTTCAAGGTACTTTTTTCATCTATGGAGTTTTGAAGGATCGTGCTCCTTAACCACAATTTCCCTACTCCTTTGGCCTATGGCTTCAAAAGTTGTTAGGATCATAATTTTTAGGGCATTCTCATCAAGTGGGTCATAACTATTGTTAGTATCCTCTATAGATACTTTTACTGCTCTTTTATTTTACTACTGACTTGTCTTTTATCTACTTGTGTCCTTAAGGTGAGATATGTTGTCTTTGAGTCTCTATCACCTCTCATTATTTTATCCAATTACTTTGACACATCATTGGATTTCTTAATTTGAGATTTCTTTTTCCAAACTTGCTTGGCCATATGATTTTTAGCTTGTACATTTCCTCTACTTGGTTCCTTTGCATAATGTCCCTACATTTGGATTTCTTAATTTGAGATTTCTTTTTCCAAACTTGCTTGGCCATATGATTTTTAGCTTGTACATTTCCTCTACTTGGTTCCTTTGCATAATGTCCCTACATTTGGATTTCTTAATTTGAGATTTCTTTTTCCAAACTTGCTTGGCCATATGATTTTTAGCTTGTACATTTCCTCTACTTGGTTCCTTTGCATAATGTCCCTACATTTGGTGCTTTATAGCTCCTCCTGCTTATTTTTGAGTTTCGAGTAGGCATTGGTCCCCTATTCAGAGGCACTTAGAGTAGAAGGTAGCCTCAATTTATAGTTTATTGCCTTCACAAACATCTTAACATCATTACCTTCTATCTTAAATATACCACATGACTATAAATCTATATTGAAACCATAAATATGAGGAATTTTTTATGATAAAGTTTTATTAGAGATGTATATCATTAACAAAAAGTAAAATTGATCATCCTATAGGAAACATTGAAAATGACTGAATTTTTTTCTATGAGAGAGTAGATATCTTTAAAAATTGAAAGAGAGATGGAAAATATAGTTATCTCATACATGATAATTGTAATTAGTTGTTTTTTTTTAGGTATATAAGCTCTAAACACCTTTCATAGAAGATGATTGAGTCTATAGATGCTTAGGTGTACCTGTTTGTTTGTTGGTATGATACTATTTCAGAGTTTATTACGAAAAATAAATGACTCAATAATCTTACTTTTTTTTTCATGATAGAGGTTTATTTCGAAACATATAGAATTAACAAAAAGTAAAATTGATCATGATTCCTATATGAAACATTAAAAACGATTGAAAGCTTTGCTACGGTTGCTCCAAAAAGTCTGCTAAGTAATGGAATTGAGGACAAGAGAGAACCGAATAAATTACCATGATGTATCGTAATAAGTAAAAATCACTTCGCAAAAACTTGAAATCAATAATTGGAAAAGGTTCTTAGATTCTCGTTTTGTATAAAAGATATATCATAAGACTTATACGGAGAAATCAATGAAAGACAAATATTGCAAGTGAGTGAAGAAATGAGGATAATATAAGGAAGCAAATTTGGGTTTTTGAGATTTTTAAGAAAGAAATTTATTGCATTTAACAAAAATTGAAATGTCATATTAAATAAAATTGACCAATCTTAAATTTCTTTCTCCGCGTCAAGATATCTATTGAATTACTATAATCTTTGCATTGATATGACATAATGGGTGATGTAGCCATGAATTTTATCGAGGTGTTCCATATTTTGATAAGTAAATACCCCTTTTATCCTAACTTATGTGAGATATTTAGTGTATGTGTGCAATGACCTTGAAGGTTGTTTTTGGATTATTTTTTGAAAAATTATCATTTTACCCCTCTTGATAGTTGTGTCGACTCATGTTTTATCAGTTTTTGAACTTAGATTTGATACCGGATCGTAGAGTTAAGACTTTTGGATGTTTTTAAGTTTTGAAAGCTTTTAAGTTGAAATGGTTAACTTTAGTCAATATTTGGAGTTCCTTGTCGTCGAGACTCCTGCCCCAAATTAAGGAATTCGACGACTTGTGCACTAAAGCTCAAGTCTAGGAATGAAATTCTCTCAACTTTTATCAGCTCCGGAACGTGACTTTTGGGTTAGTAGGACTATTGGCTTAGGTCCTGCGATGCTTGGATGAGTTTTGAAAGAGTTTTGAAAGAGTTTTTGTGTTTTGAAAGTTGAAAGCATACGATAGTTAACCAAAGTGAATATTTGGTGATAGCAAATTCATAATAGAATTCTGATAGTTCTATTAGCTTTGGAATGTAGTTTTTGGTATAGATGTAATGTTGGTTTGGGTCCCAAGGCTTTCAATTTGATTTTGAGCTATTAGACGAGATGCAGAAAAAGTTAAGGCTAAAGTTTGATTTTAGCTAACATTTGGGTTAGAAAGGTCATTTTTGAGTTTTGATGATTTCACTAAGTCTAAATGGTGATATTTGGTCTAGTTAAGGTTTGATTCAGTTCCTGAAGCTTTTGGATGAGTTACATGTCCTTATTTGAAAATTTGGAAATTCTTAAGTTAAACTTTGACTTGATCAACATTGGGTTAAGATGACCTTGTTTGGGTGTTTTAAGTCCATAATATTATTCCAAGCTAGTAGCATATTTGGTTTGTGTTCGAAATTTTTTGAATGAGCTTTTAGTAAGTTTCTAAAGCTTTTTGGGTGCTTTGACACTGTTTCAACAAATTGTGCCAACTAAAAAGTTAGTTATTATTTTTAAAGACAATTATTTTGGAACTTTAGAAAGTTTGATCATGAATTGTAGAACTGATCATTAAGGTTTCGGGTATTTTTGCTAAGTCGAGATTGAATTTTTATCGGAAAATATGAAATAGTTGTTTATCAAGCAGGAATAATATTTGACTGGGCAAACAAGCATTAAGTTGAGTTTCGGTTAATTGAGTAGGTCAGTATCATTATTTAAGACATTTAGAAAAAAATATCGGTTCATTTCGCTATTGTATGAGGAAGTTACAAGTGGACAATTTAAACCCTTCACCTCATCTTCATTACTCCCAACACGCAAGCAACAAAGGAAGCATGCGAATTCAATCAGAATACAATGTTTAGGAAGCCAGATGCCTTAAATCAATCAACAATCACTCCAAAAGTTGAGTCTCCCCCGTCCGATTCACTTCCAAAACCATACAATCTATAATCAAGCAAGTATTCACAATCACTTTCCAGAATCAACAACACCCACTACAATTTCCTTAAAAGGTGAGTCAATCAATACAATACCTAATTCCAAAAATTAAGGTTTGGATTCAAAATTTAATACTTGACAACATTACTCAAGGTTTTAGGAACTCATCAGGGAAAATCATTTCAAAATATAACTTAAAATCAGTTCACAAACTCACTTTTACTTCATAACTCAAGTTCATGAAGCACCCCCAAATAATCAACCCGAAATCTTGATTTGAACTCATAAATTCAATAATAATAATGGGTAATCGAAGGTTTAGAGTTAAGAAATGTTACCCACCAATTTTATCTTGAAAACCCAACTTGCTCCAAAATGAAAATGGGAAAGAAATCCCAAAATTTGGGTTTAAACACTACGAGGGGTCTTACGCGAACGCGAGTTTTAATGAGCTGGACCTCCGTGAACGCAAAAGGTCTCCCACGAACGCGGAGGTCCCTCCTGCGAACGCGGTCGAGACTCCACGAATGCGAGGTCCTCACCCCTCCCATTCACGAACACATCCACAAGCTCTGCGAACACGGAGTGTTGCACCAGAACACAGAAAACCAGCCAACACAAAAATCATCGAAAGGATCCTCAGAATTCGTTCGGAACTCCATACACACAAACCACATATGTAAATCAATAACAATTAAGTGCAAAGGATCATAATCCTCGGAATTCGTTCGGAACTCCATACACACAAACCACATATGTAAATCAATAACAATTAAGTGCAAAGGATCTTATGAACTTACCTACCAATGAGTTGTCTTGCCATGTGTGAAATACAGCCCTGCAAAAAAATTTGTTGAAGAATACAACAACAATTTTTAAGTGATTCAAGGAGAATCAGTCTCTGGATTAAGTTATAACTTATAGTTTGTTTCAAATGTTTGTTTACAAAAGATAGCCTTAAAATTGCAGCAGTACTTGAAGATGAAACGTTGAGGAAATCCGTCTGTTGTGCTGATGTGAAGTGATGAAGATCGGTGGAAGCCTGCCCCGCACAATCGCTAGACAACCACGTGGAGTAATATGAAGGTAGAGCAACAACTTGCAATTACTAAAATACCCTCAAATAATATATAAGCAGACATGTTGATACCTCAATCATACCCACACTTCTATAATAGTAGAAAGAAAATTAGGAAATTATAGCGTATAAATAGTGTAAAATAAAATTTCGTACATATACATATACAAATTTTTGAATTCCTAATTGTGGTATAGGGAAAGTTTTTTTTTACAATGATAAGTTGTTCAAAAATTGCTTGTAATTTATGGTTAGAATTTTAGATTTTCTTGTTAAAATTTCTGGCTCTTACGCTACTCTCTCGACAAGGGTGGAAGCTAAAGCTTTACATACGAGCTCAATAAAACTTAATAGTTTTCAGTTAAATAATGTGTTTATATTAAAAAATATATATACTATATACAAATTAAAACTCGAGTTAGCTACAAAACTAATAAACTCAAAATTCTAGTATGGTCTCCAACTATCAATAGTAAATCACATTAAAATAAATTATTTTTTTTAAAAAAATAAAAAATTAAAGAGTTCTAGAACAACCTAGTAGTACCTTTTTCACGTTCACACGTGACACAACAACAAGTCAAGTTAATAAAAAAGAATTCAACTACTAAAAAAAAACCTAGGAATTATAAGATTTACTTGTAACTTAGCCCCTAAGCTTTTTTTTTTTTTTAACAAAAATATATTATAAAAAACCTCTTCTCCCCCAAAACCTCTAAAGAAGATAAAGATCCATTACTCATTTTTTCAAAAAAAGAAAGAAGAAAGAAGAAAAAATGTGTTTTTTGAAATGTGTTTGTAATGAAGAAAAAAATGAGGTAGGAAGAAAAATAGCATTGGGGGTTTGTCCACATTGTGAAGGAAAAGTTGAAGCAATAGATGTTGAAGGAAGTTTGAAGTTTTGTTTTCTCCCAATTTGTTATAAGATGAAGAGGAAATATATATGTACTATGTGTTCTAGACATTTGATTTTATTGTATTCTTGTTTATTATGGTGAAAAGTAAAAGTTTGTCTAATTTTCAGAAAGATTCATGTTTTTTATATTTATAAATAATTTAACTTTAGATTTTTAATTTTTGTAGTCATAGTAGCATCGAGTTCATTTGAATTCAGTATTTTAATGGAGAGCATAAATTTATATGTAAAAATATACTAAAATTGCAATGAGTAATTCAGATTTTTAATTTTTGTTGCCATAATAGTATCGAGGCCATTTGAATTCAGTATTTAATGAAGAGCATAAATTTATATATAAAAATATACTAAAATTGCAATGAGTAATTCAAAATTTTAATTTTTATAGCCATCGAATTCATTTGAATTCAGTATTTTAATGGAGAGCATAAATTTATATATAAAAATATACTAAAATTGCAATGAGTAATTAAATAGACTCAATGCTAAGAACCTAAAAAAATTATTTTAAATTTGTCTCTACTCTTTCACCATTTCATTTATTGCAAATTAAAAACAAAAAAGAAGAAGAAGAACCTTTCGATAAATTTTACACTCAATCAAATACCGTGACCGTCACATATACAGGTTGACGGACTAAGTAGTAATTGTTTGGTTTGTTCTACATTAAGCTATTCTAGTCTTTTTCACAATTAAATTTTGTTTCATCTCTTTATCAGATTATGATATTTATATTTATATTTATTTTTATTTGATCACTTTTAATAAATTATTTCATGTTAATCCGACAAAAATAGCTTTATTGTGATACAAGAAGTTAGACTACATTTCCAAAACCTATTGCTGCATTTTTTAGGTGCTAATGATGTTTTAGGGAATCTATATCATTGTGATACAAGAAGTTAGACTACATTTCCAAAACATATACCATCAAACTTAGAGAAAAGATTTATTTATATCATTCGTTAATAGTTTGGTTTATCTATGTCATTTTCGTTTGGAAAATGTTTATCCATGTCATTATTTGTTAACTAAATGACATAGCCGAGCCTCAACTTTTAACATATGACATAGATAAGCATTTTCTTAAAGTTTGGCGACACATTTAAACATTTTTCCTTTTAGAAAATGATTTAACTAATGACGTGATTGAATTATAATGACCACATGTTAAAAATGATTTTGCAAAATTGAAACTATTTTCAGTTAACAAATAATGGTATGGATAAGCTTTTTCTCAAATAGAAATAACATAGATGAGCCAAACTTTTAATAGATGATATAAATGAACTTTTTCTCAAAGTTTAATGACATATTTAATCATTTTCCTTTCGTTTATTATATCATTTCTGTTGTCTTATTGTATGTGGGTTTTTCCATTTTTTACTTTTTTTTAAACAATTGTCTTGTCATTGCCATTAATGTTGATTACAAGAGAGGAAGGAGGACTTTAAGGTAATGAGATTTGCATAATATATGAGCACAAAAGGAGGCACAAACAATGCCAAACACATAGAAGCACCTCAAAGGAGGCTAAAAAAAAAGGAAAAATGTACAAGTACCTCCTTAAATTATGATCGAAATTCTAGAAACACACTTCAACTAAACCAAGGTCCTATTACACCCTGAACCTATTTTTTTTTATAAATTTGTACACCTTTTTGGCTAACATGACATCCAAATATCTTTCACGCGCCTAAATTACGTGGAGTCCCGGATTGTGCCACGTAAGACAAAAGGTGTTTACAAAAAAAAAAAAAGTTCAGGAGAGGTAATAGGACCTTAGTTTAGTTAAGATATGTCTGTGAGATTTCGATCATAGTCTAGGAGATACTTATGCCTTATCCCAAAAAAAAAAAATGATACTCGATTTTCTTTTTTCGACTCTGAAGGAGGGAAATTGCCATTTTTTAACGACATAACATTAAGCATTAAGGAGCCGTTTGGTAGGAGGTATTAATTAAAATAATCCTTGGATTAAAATTTAGTCCACCCAATACAATGTTTGGTTGCACAATTCAACTCAAGCACACCTAATACATGGATAACTTAATACATCATATGTGGTCTTATCTAATACCAAGGATGTCTAGGGATTACTAATCCAATGTTTACTAATCCTTGGATAAGGAATCAAATGACTGAATTGCCCCTCAATTTTTTTGTACATCCTTTAGAATTGGCAAAGATATTCACACTATTCTGCTCTTTGGAATCGTTTAACCTGTTTTCATCAAAGTTATATGATTTCGTTCGTATTCAAATTTTAATTGAAAAGGAATTTTCTCTCCAAAACTTTTGCTACTGTTTTCATAGCAGTAGCTGGAGCTGGAGTTCTTGGCCTTCCTTACAGCTTCAAGAAAACAAGATGGGTAATGGTTTCTCATGATTTTATAGTAGCCTTCCTTACTATTATATGATGCTTCTGATCTATTCTAGGCGTAAGCTTCAATCTCATACCAAAGTTGTCAAGATTTCATCTTTATGGTTCTGTAACACCCCGTAAATTTTTTTGAATTAAGACTCGAACCGTTCATCGTAGTGAGTGAGATTTTACCGAGGAATTAAAATTTCTTAAGTGTTAAGGTCACTAGATGTAGCACCTTGAGTTCCAAAGAGAATTAAATTGTAAATAGCAAAATCTGAAATTTTGCAAGTTAAGCTAAGTATGAGTTTTAGTTCGACTTCAAATGATCATAACTCCTAGATAAGGATGATTTAGGTGTTCTACAAGATACCGTAAGAAGTATATTAGAATTATCTTTCCAACGCCGCCGAGTTTGCTAAGTTTCGAGGTCGGATGAGTGAGATATGGCCTTTTGAAGTTAGGCTGCCCAGTTAAGGAAAGTTAGCCGAAAATAGAGAGGGGTATTTTGGTCTTTTCCTTACACAATCAGATTTAATTCATTTTTAGTAATATTTTAAGGGTCTAATCCTATTAGGTTCAGTTTTATAATCCTAAAAATTAGCCTAGGGTTTTAGTTGAGAGTTCAAGAAGAGAAAAGAAGAGAAAAGAGGAGAAAGAGAAGAGGAGTCAAGACGTTCATTGAGATTCTTGCATCTTGTTGCGGATTTTCGCCATGGGTTTAATACCTAAGAGGTATGTAAGCTTCCATAGTGTTGGGTTTGTTCACCCACACGCCAAACATGTTATTTTCAGCGCAAATTTTGATTCTTGAAGTTGAAAGATTTTGAGTTCTTGATAGGTGTTCTTGAAGTTCATTCTAAATCTTGTTGTGTTAGGTTTTGGATGATTTCTTGAGATCAAAGTGTCACACCCAAAACTCAAGGGGTGAAACTGGCTCCTAATGCCAAAACTCAGGTCCGAGCCGACCCTGCTGAACCATTTGCTACTAGCGCATGGCAGCCACATCAATCAAGAAATCAAACAAGTATATCTTGGCTTGAAACTAAGCCATCGGCCGGCAAGGCCCCTGCCAACTGATCTATAAAAGAAACAGCTACTCCCAGGAGATCATATAATAAAATAGCCAACTAGCACATAAGTCCTGATTGGGCTGTCGAGGCCACCATGATATCTATACCAAAACTAAAAGCAGGTATATATCAATACAATACATCAAATAGCTCACAAGCTTCAGCAAACCAACCACATAGGCCAGTATGGCCATAACGTAGCTATACACCCCACACACTAGTCTGCAAGCCTCTAAGAGTAGTAAAGATTAGCGGGATAGGGCCCCAGCCTACCCATACAGATATATGCAACAAAAGGTAATAAACTTCCCAACTCTGGCAGCTCCAGAGGAAAGGGTCTAGCCAACCGGATAAAAGTCAATCATGATGCTGAGGAGGTCTACTCAGTCGTCTGTCAGGACCTGCATGCATGAATGCAGCCCCCCC